TGTCGTATTGTCATACTGACAGGCTTGGATTTTCGTCATTTTAGGGGCAAGGCCATTTGGCCTTTGGTGTCACACATTTTTTCAGCGCGCAAAGGCCACATGCCAGGGCACAAAGGCCATTGAGGAAAACATTTGGATTTGGAGCTTACAAATAAATAACTTCACTTTCTAATGACAAAAAACAAATCACTTTTTTAAGATCAATAATCGTATCATCATATAGGCCTATGACTCCTTAGTATTACCGTATATAAAATGAAATAATTTACTTTGAATAATTAGTGTTTGGTATGTTTTCCATCTACTACTTCTCCCATTCACAAATCCGAAATGAAATCTAAAAATCAAAAATTATATTAATATGTAACAAATATATTCCATTTCAGAGCAGAAGAAACAGCCTTCAAGGGTCAAACTCTGCACATACATCATTCAGCAGTGCACAGTGAAGCTCCAACATCCAACTGTATGAACAAGCAATACTTTGAAATGCAAAAGTGTGTGTGTGTGTGTGTGCGTGTGCGTGTGCGTGTGTCTCTTTAATTAACTCCTCACAGCTCCTCATATCTGTTCAGAAACTAGACAAAAGTTAAACAAGTACAAACCACAGACTGTCTCTGTCATGACGAATACAGTCGCTGCTTTAATTCTGTCTTTAGGACGTTGTTGTGAGTGTGGACGGAGCAGCTACAACGTTAGTTTAGCCCAGTGCTTCTCAAAGTGTGGTCCGCGGACCACTGGTGGTCCGTGAGCGCCCCCTAGTGGTCCGTGAGTATATTGGTAACATTTCACATTTGAAATAAATAAATACATTTAAGTTTTCCGCACTCTCGCGGGAATATCTCCACAATGGAAGGAGCTTAAATTTAACTTTCTATTGCATGATAAAGCCCAGGGCAACACCTTCGTCACACATGTTGCCACTTGTTTGTACCATTTTCAGGCGATTTATAATCTGTTCTAGAAAAACGATGTGTTTTGGGATATTTGTGGAGTTAGGTGGTCCGCGAGTGTTTTATTATTGGTTAAGTGGTCCTTGGTATGAAAAAGTTTGAGAAACACTGGTTTAGCCTGATCGATCCAATCTCCATTCACAAAACGCGCATTTTAAAAGGTTTTGCATGCCGTCTTGTCTGCACACTTGTCAAAGCATTAAAGCATGGTTTTTACTAACCGTTATCAGTATTTAGTTACTTCGGCATCATTTTGAAACGTGTATTACAATTAAATCACGGTAACATAGGTTAATTTGGTCGTAGTTGGCACAGTATTTACATGGATATAAGCCCCGCCCCATCTCCAGCGCGTCCTGTTTGAATGACAGGAGTAAACACAGCTGACAGCCGCGGTGAAACTCCAGCGGTTAGAGCGATGAGAATATTCGCATCGCGTCCGTTGTGAACGCAGCATAATGCAGTTCAGAAACCACTGTTCTGACGCTTTTAAAGCAACTTTTAACAGTGTGAGGGGCCCAAAGGCCATGGTGGCCGTAGGACGAACAATTATTTGTGGGGCATAACGGCCAGACCGAGGGGCTACGACGGCCATGGCCGTCATGGCCGCCGTGAAAATCCCACCCTGCATACTGATATTCTGTACAAACTGTGTCCACTGAGACAAATGTAACATTTGTGATATTGGGCTATATAAATAAACATTGATTGATTGAATAAAACAGGTGCAGGAAATGTATGTAGCACGCAAAATTGCACACCCCTTTAGAAAGAAGCTGCAGCTGTATTGCAGATATCATTCTTACTGCTATACTGTGTCTTAACTATCTGGGAGGAGAACCTTTATACATGTTTAAACAATTGGTAACAATCCACCATTAGGCCTAATCAGCTCTTAATGTAAAAATGGTATATAAATCAATTGTTGTTGGAACCGTTAAAAAGTACATTGAAAGCAACTTGAAACTACGTGTTTGTACCGAGGGTAGTTCCTCGTATGCTCACAAACATGGCCAATAAAGCGAATTCAGATCTTTATTAAACTGATCTTCACTACATTTTTGTTGACAAATTAGTATTAAATTGCCTAAATGAATGTGTATTGCTATGCTGAATCATGCCTTTGGGTGTGATTCCTGGTACGTGTGCATAAATAAACAAACACTACTAGTATTTAACTTACTTCATAGGGTTTCTTTAAAAAATGTATGTAAATATTATAATTGAAAGACAGAAGGCTCAACTATGTGATCTATCTGATGTAACAGCGGGATTTGTGTACATCCCATAAAGAAAGCAATGAAAACACATAAGACCTAAGTTTCCCTCTCTGAGTTGTGGGCTGAATTTCTTTTCAAAATGGATAACATTTGTCTATGTCTAATCTTTTCTAAACCCAGCTGCTATCTCTGTGCAGCCATGTGATTATCCATCACCACAATTGTGATTCATGAGCAGGTGGAGGGAAACATTAATCTGCCGGTGTTTTTCTGGATATATGCATTATTTTTGGCCTTGCACAAGTACTGTGCATTATCAATCTTGGGACAATTGGAGAGGTTTTACCTTACCCAAGGCTTCCTATCCGAAAACTTGGTAAACTGTGTTCCGCCAAAAAAAGAGCACCGGCGCATTTGCGTACCAACATTGAGAGAGAGAGAGAGAGAGAGAGAGAGGAGAGATATGAGAGATAGTACTAGAGAGAGAGAGATATGATAGAGAGAGAGAGAGGATAGAGAGAGAAGAGAGAGAGAGAGAGAGCGAGAGATAGATAGGAGAGACGAGAGAGAGAGAGATATTTGCGAGTTGCATATGAACTCAGGGCCGGCGTTATAGATGTTCGCCTAGGGCGCCAGATCTGGGGAGGCACTGCGCTGGCAGTTCTGGGAGGGGAAACGTTGTTTTTTTTACCGTTGGGGCTCATCCTAATTTTCGGCCTTGATGTCACAATATTCATAATTAAGTAAATGTAACACCCTTTTCACCCCGGTTACACGTTTAATTTGCCCTGTACGATGGGCGCTGTAAGTGATGAAAATGGGGGATGTTCCGCAGCTCACAGCCAAAATGCGAGTGAGCGAGAGAGGGTGCACCGGTACCGGCGCTGTTGTTATTAGAATCTGGTGCTAGCTGCTTTAACGGATATAAGACGAAGATGTTTCTACAATAATGTGGAGGGAGAGTCCTCTCCAGTCAGACTGAGAGGCTGATAGCTAAAGCTCAGTGAGGTAAAGCAGTGATTCTCAAATGGGGGTACGCGGACCCCTAGGGGTACGTTGGGGTACTGCAGGGGGTACGTGAGATTTAAAATGAAAAATAAAAAATACCATGCATGATTACAAAAATAATTTTAGTACAATAAGTGAAATAGAAAACACAATTGTATATAAAATATTTCTAAAACCACCAAGGGGGTCCTCATATAAACATGTCAAATGTGTGTATTGTATTTTATAGTTTTTCATAATATATCATTTTGTTCATTGGTTTGTTAAACATATATATTACTTCAATTGAAAAACTCCTTTTTTTCATGCACAAAGATGAAAAAATCCTTAGTTTGTTGTAATTCATGCATGAAGGAGTTAATAAATCACACACAGATGAAACATCACTATATTGTAATTATGTATATAGGCGTTTTCTATCAAAGATGTTCGGGGTCGGACAGGGGGTACTCGGCTGAGAAAATGTTTCAAAGGGGGTACATTACTGAAAAAAGTTTGAGAAGCACTGAGGTAAAGGACTCTTGAGTTTTTAGATAACTTTAGTCTAAGTTCAAACGGTTTGGTCACAATTTATGTAAACACATATTTCCAAGGCACTCCTTTATAATTATTGGGATGAACAGGTTTGAAATCATTCCAATGTATACTATAGGACAGTAACCAAAAATATCCTTTAAAACTGGAGAGATAAAAAAAAATGCATAAATAAATAAATGTTAAGGTAAAATAAGATATGAATGAACAGCAAAAATAAAATAAGTTACATTAATTTGTTATTGGCTATGGTAGGTTATTGGTTATGTTCACATACGTATTTGATTACATCCACTTGTCTAAGATGACAACAGAGATTTTCGACCCAAAACCAGCTGTTGACTTGTGAATGCAAGCAGCTAATCGCAGACTCAACCGGAGAGAAAGTAGTAGGCCTACATCAGCAGCTACCATGTCTGACAGAGAGGAAGACAGTCAGGAGAACAGTCAGGAGGGTAGTGATGACAGCTTGTAGGATTACTGGTCATGCTAATGTTGTCTTGTGTTCACCTCTGCATGTGTGAGCTGTGTTCACCTCTGCATGTGTGTTCTGTGTTCACCTCTGCATGTGTGTTCAGTGCCGTGTGTCTGGCAAATAAAGTCAAGACCCCCTCAAAAGTTGCGGTTTATTTCATTTTAAGGATGAGCACCAAGCAACATCTCCAGGTGCTCCTTTGAGAACCAGGGCAAAAAAGTTATGTGCACCCCTGTCTATAACACAATCACCTTAAATGTATTACTTCCCTTGTGTTTCAACAAAAAGAAATCCAAGCAGCAAAGTATTCTCTGTAAAGCTTTACCCACTCGGCTTTACATCCAAATTGCACAGAAATCAATGCATGAGTAAAAGGCTGTCCGTTTCCTGGTGATTACAGCAGCTCACTAATAAGGTCAGCCGATGTAGCGAGGTTAAATGATAATGTATTTCTTTGGAGGAAAAAGCGAGACTACTTTAAAGTTCCTCCTCTACATGTAAACTGAGGCCACACATTTCCTAAGCGCCCATCCAACATCAAAAAGGATCTGATCAAAGATGGCAGGCAAGATCTTTTGGTTATACCACTTGTAGGCCTAATGTTCTGTGTCCCCTTTTGAGCTATAAATCCATTGATGAAGAAAGAGAACTAGGAACATGAAGGGGATAAAATAAGCGGCAGATCATTGGATAAATTCAAACGATACAAGTGTATGACAAAGATTTTCTTCTGATTTCATTTCCTTTTTTTTTTTTTACATGCTTTTTTTTATGCACTTAACTAAGTGTTTTTTTCTTCATTCCTTACAGTTACACAGCAGTTGCAATGCCAATGCTGTACAATACTCGCTACAGTTCCAGGAGACGGGTCACAGTCATGATATCCGTGGTGTGGGTACTGTCTTTCGCCATATCATGTCCCCTATTGTTTGGCCTAAATAACACAGGTAAGAAAGGATGCCATTAAAATTTTTCTCATGATGTATAGTTTGTTGAAACAATAGTTTGAATGCATTATATTATTCATGTGTTTTGTACATCCCCTGCACAGCAGTACAGCATGTAAACTGTATATACACATAAGTTTTGAAGATATAGCTGATGTCATTTTTGTATTCTTGCCCCTCTTTGCATTAATATTGCATTAAAGCAGAATGCCAACGTCAGTGCCCATTTGCAGCATTGCACATTGAGATTGTGTTCTAAAAGAGCATTGTGTTCTAAAAGTAAATATATTAAACTTATACTACTTAACTTCATACTGACACTGAACTACTTTAGCGAGCCATAGCCCGTTAGGTTGCTCACTCCACAGAATGAGGGCTTTACAGAGGATTACAGCAAAAGCAGGTTACGATCAAGAGCTCCTTAGATGTTGATTCTACCATAACCCTTTTAATATAAGCAGTTGCTGCAGATCTCGCCAGTGTGGGCTTCAGGAAACATGAAAGCTGAGATCGTCAGAAGGAACCACTGTAACGGAAGCAATTCGCTATAGCATCTCATATTTAAAATATTTATATGTTCTTTTAAATGGATTGAAAGACTGTAAAACTGTGGAGGGAAAGCAAGTACAACACGTATGAGGTGTATGTGGATGATTTCATACACAGATGATCACAACCTGGTTTGTGTTGTAAATTAACTGTGTTGTGTATAGTTATTTTGCCAAAAGCGCTTTCCAAAGTGACTCTTATTCACCATGCATCATCCACGCAATTTGTAAAATTGAAGGGCTTGCAGAGTAGGATTATAGAAGGAGGCTGAGGTATTCAGTATTAGTATGAGTCAAAAGTCCAAAACAGACGATCTTACATTTCCCATAGATTAAGATGTATTTAAGTTACTATTTATATATTTTATTTGAACTTTGTATTCCTACCAAAGCTAGAAGAAGTGTGCTGTTATTACTGACAGCAAAATGGGAGTCCCCCTGACAAGCAAAGATAATTGTATATGTCAAATCGGACTGCCACTTTAATGGACCACCCACTCTACCCCTGTGCTGCAGCAACCCTGAAGTGTGAAGACAAGTTGTTAACACTTTTGAGTGAGGTCAGTTGTAATAAAAAAGGATTGCAATGGTCCAAGTGAACATGAGGGGGGAGGGGAGAGAAAATGTTTGAATGACCTCTATGTGATGGTGGTATTATAAATGGTTACATTTTTGGATGAGCTTCCCAGAGATCAAAATCAAAGAGCAATCTATCATCTATCAACCCTTGGTTCTTTGCAAGAAAAACTAAATTCATAAAAAGTTTCCACATTGTATTTCAGAAAGTTTTTCAAGAGTCACATTGACACGACATGACAAAACTGACTTAAAAAACAATTTTGGATGGGGCATAAGATGCAGTCATAGGTCTTTATTCACCCTGTGTTTATCTCCACAGCTACCCGTGATGAGTCTCAATGTGTGATCGCCAATCCGGCCTTCGTGGTTTACTCTTCCATCGTGTCCTTCTATGTTCCCTTCATCATCACTCTGCTGGTTTATGTGCAAATTTATGTGGTGCTGAGGAAGCGCAGAAAACGTGTAAACACCAAACCGAAGCAGCGTGTCTGTCAGGCGGCCGACACTGATATGCCTACTTCGCTGAAGGTGAGCTTGCAATATGGCTGCTATTTACTACTAAATATTGTACTGCTTCGATGTGGATCTGTGAGTGATTTACGCTTGTATTACCCCAGAGATCTGTATCGTTCTGTTTCCAGATGTTGTAGAATGATGTATTTTTCAACCGTGTAAATACAGCGTGCCCTTTAAGGTTCATTTGTGTATTTATGAAACAACAATCAATAATTCTCTGAACCAAATCATACTTGATGGTTTTATGTATAGGCATTGCATTACATAACAACATAATGTAAAGGCGAAACCGAGAGAATTTATTTTTTGGGAAAGAACAGTGGACAACATTCAATGCAAGATATTGAAAGGTCAAGCCTCAGTTACACCCAATTTTAATCTTAATGTCACATTAACTGGCAGGTTTTCAGTGTTGAAAGCTGTCTCCTTTCTTTAATTGTGATGGCCCTAAAGTGACCTTTTGCTTTTCTTTCTATTGATTCTACTGACCTAAACACTCAATAGGCTCTGCACAGATCACCATGCGGTTTCTGCATCTTTACAGGAATTGAAAGACTGCAAATTAATTCAATGACCGGTGAAGTCTTGTATGGCAGTATATTGTATAGATTATGTACATAATCTTTAAAGGTGGGGTAGGTAAGTTTGAGAAACCGGCTCGAAATACACTTTTTGTTATATTCCATGGAATGCTCTTAACATCCCGATAGCAATGAATATCTTAAGTGCTTTGACTAAAAATCCATAACAAATTTCATCTGTGGAAGCCGTAGTACTGTAAAAAGCACGACCAATCATTTTAGCCGGCCCGGCTAACATAACTGGATGGCCTACCTGCCTGTCAGCCTTCCATCTGTGCACAAACTTATCTCGTGCCCTCATTGGTCATGTGCGCATTCGTGTGTGTTGGAGGAGGGGCTCTGTAAGGAAGTAGCAGATTTCTTCGGTTGTGTATTTTCAAATTCTAGCGCACTCAAGCTGGTTTCTCCAAAATTACCTACCCCACCTATAAGGAGCAAAATAATTTAATAAAGGTTCACTTTTACTTTGACATATATCAGATCTCAGATATTTACATAAAAAACTGTATGTCCTAAACTGTCAGAAAAAAAAGGACTCCGAGCTGCTTGAAGCTGCAGATCAGATTCTTACTAAACAGCCTTTCTGCATCATAGCTCAATGAAGCCTAATTTTACCTAGTAGGCTGTGGGACCTGTGTTTAGACATTCCTTTTGTCAGTTGTTCTTTGATATTGTACCCTCTGCATGCCTGACACAGCTGTTTTTTATTTCAGGATAAGTGCACTCATCCAGAGGATGTGAGGTTGTGCACCATGATTGTTAAATCTAATGGAAGTTTTCCTGTCAACAAGAAGAAAGTGGTGTGTGCTCTTTTTTGTTCTTTTGGTTGCTGCTCTTTTCTCAAAAAGTTTAATTGTAGGAACCATGTTTGTTTTTCCCGTAAAAGATTTATCAAGGTGTCACCTTGAAGTTCTACTCCATTTCTCAAGAGAAAATACAGCTTAAAACACAACCTTTTCTGCTTCTGTGAACACAGCAAATGGAAATTCAACATTTAAAGCGTGATTAATTTTGTTATCCGTTAAATGCCAACCATGCCTTAATACAAAACATGACCATCTGAATCCATGTTTTTGTGCTCATCCTGACCTTGCTCAGATATTCATCAAAGAAGTAGTCCATGAGGGGGAGGATCTGGAGCTGGATGAGCTGAACAACAGTGGCAGCAGCCAGAAACAGAAGCAGCCGCCACAGTGTGCTCTGGGAGACACTCCGGCCACCAGCCACCAGCTACCGATGCCCAAAAAGGCCAACGCTAGCCCCACCTCCTCACCACCCACACCCCCTGAGCAGGGCCAGAAAGCAGAGAAAAATGGAGATCCTACCAAGGAGGTCCTCCGGGATCCAGCACCCCTTGTGGCTAAAGCCTTCCAAACGCAGGCCTTACCTAATGGCAAGACTCAGACCTCTGTGAAGACCATGACCATGAGCAAGAGGAAGATCTCCCAGCAAAAGGAGAAGAAGGCCACTCAGATGTTAGCCATCGTCCTTGGTAAGATATTTTCTACTGATTTTTTAAAGTAACATTTAACATAAATAATTTATAATGATTGACATTAAAGTTTATGAAATGCTGTTTAATGTGAATATACTCTCCAAAGTGGAGCTGTTGGTAATGAAGCGTTTCCACAACCAAATAACTATGTTTTGGTTGTCTATTGCAAAACAACATGCAGTGATTACAACATCAAACCAGCAGGGGACTCTGTTGAAACTCAAGATGAAATATTTGTATCTCTTCTAACTTATTCTTATTGTACAATTTTTTAAAAAACTGTTTCTCTTTTGTACAAGCCACGTCATTTTCTTTGGCTTAAAGATAAGACAAGCTGATGCAATGACAGGAAATTATTCTATTGCTTTGATTTTAAAGTCAACCATATTTGAGTGTCGAAAAAAGCTTGCTTCCTTTTCATTTTTGTGACTCTTTTTCTAATATTCCCATTTTTTCTCGTATCTCCACAGGTGTATTCATCATATGCTGGTTGCCATTTTTCATTACGCATATCTTGAACACCCACTGCACAAAATGCAAGGTCCCCGCTGAGATGTATAATGCTTTCACTTGGCTGGGCTACGTGAATAGTGCTATTAATCCCATCATATACACCACCTTTAATGTTGAGTTCAGAAAGGCATTTATTAAGATCTTGCACTGCTAAACTGCAGCATCACTTTCGGATCAGACTGAAGGAAGAGCGATACATAAAAGCATCTCTTCTGGCAAATACCTCATCCTGTCAAGGGAAACGCACCATAGGGGGAACGGCAATCTGCTTTTTAAAACCTATGGAGCTGAGTGACTGAAAAACTGATAGTGTCTTATTAAAAGGCACGTTGGCTCTATATGTGCATTGTTTGTGGGGTCCCATTCTCCAAATCACTGAATGTAATACAAGAAATGTCTGTAACAAGGAGCTGTTTCATTGAGAAAAGAAAATGTAACATTGTTCTCTAAATCATTGTATTTGTCACGTGGGTAGCCATCTGTGTATACCACACACATACAAGTTGCAAACTGCTATTTATTGTATATGTACTTTACTTTTGAATGATGGAAATCTTCTGCAATTCTTAGTCAGTGTTCAATGCAGTGTTAAAACTGATACAAAAGCTCTTAATCGTTAAGCGTATCACTGGTTGGAAAGTGTGTCCAAGACAAGATACATGTTACCTGCTGTATAATGTGGCTATGCCAATATCCACATATTTGCAATTTTATAAATTGAAAAATTTATATTATTATTATTATTATTAAAAATATCATTATTATTGTTATTATTATTTATATTTGCTGTACATAGTTTTTCTTGAAACATTAACTGTGATTATATGCCTGCTATGGAAATGTGATGCATGCTAAATGGCTCCTTTACTTGATTATTCATGAAATGTATGTTTAACAAAAGATGTCCAATAAATGAAGTTATGAGACACTGTAAAATGCCACATGAATATCAGTGTTTGCCGTGTATAAAAATATACACCCATAAATGATTTGACAGCATTCAGCAGCGTCTGTGTTGTTCCCGGGACTGTTTTGCCGTTTGAGAAATGTTGTTTTCTGGAAGTTACTCTGAGCACTGCTGCAGTGCAGTTCTTCCATGGCAAACTAATGACATGTACTGTATGTGGACTTTGCAGCTTCCAGGTATACTCGTTTGTGCTACCCTGAAGCAGCTCCCCGGGCTTTTGCGGTGTAAGAATGGGGCAAACTTGGCAACACTGAAATAACAGATACAGCACTACAGCTATATCTGTGTCTTACAAAGCCTGCGTTTTATTTCAGTTCAACAATAAAGACATTATCAATTAAGATATGTTAGTGTTTTGACGGATATTAGCCAGAGATTACTGTAAAGGGAATTCACAGAAATAATGTTTTTTGTCAAGTGCTTCATTTCAATCAAGAAAATAAACTCTGAAAAAGGTGATTTTTGTTTTTTTTAATATTTGTGGAAATCAGTGGCTAAAACATGCAACATGTTCTTGTCCAGGCCCTGACCAACCATTATATAAGGAACAACATTTTTAGCCTGAACAGGATCTAGGAAGGTACATAGGTATCAGAATCAATCAGATTCGTGGCATTCAATAAATGTCTTCAGACAATCCCATGGAAAGGGTTGTGGCTTATAAAAGAGAAAATCAAGTGGACAGTTCCAACTTAGAAGCTCATGTGTATAAATCACCATTGATTGATCTGACTTTTTTTTTTGCATGCTTTTTTCAACTCCATGACTTGATTCCTTCATTGTGTTTCTCTTTTGGTAAATACCCTATATACACAACATACATAGGGACTTTTTACAGACACTGTACCTCAAGAACAACCAATTTCGGCTCAAAACGTTGCACTTTTCGTGAATGGTAAAATGATTTTAGAGGAAATGTTTGACCATGACAGCGATTGTGGGAAAAGGTAACTTTGTTGTGATTGAGAAAACGAATCCAAACTAATAAACATTTGCAAATATACTAACACTCCTCATGTGGCCTGATGTAGACAGCGTACAATTAAGGATACCCTGTCAGTGTATGGTTATCTCTATTTCTTGAATTGTAAGGACGGCGTAGTGCTTTTACAGTATTATCAGTGATTGTTGCTGTCTTACAGAAGTACTTTACATCACTGGCACTTTAACACTGTGGACTAACAGCAGTCTTTTTGATGACCAAAGACAGTCCAGCATTGCATCATTTATAAGGGGGAAAAAAAAGTATTATTACAGCAAGCTAACATACAGGACAAGAGCCGAAAACAACAACCATCACATGTCTATAATGCTGTTAGCAATCATTGAGTGCAACCCAAGTTACAAAGGTAACAAAATGAGAAGTTTTCCTTTTTCAAAGCAATTCATCGTGAGTGCTGCTGCTGCTGCTGCTGCTGCTGCAGCTAGCAGGGTTCTCGGGAAAAACAGAGTTGACCTCTTTCTGTTGTGATGTTGTGGTTGTATCGGAATAAATTGTTTAAAGTTGAAAAATGAAGGTCAGAAGACCGTTTTTTCTCCAATCTAACAGCAGGTAATGTCTACAGAGTTGTGGTGGCAGTAGTAGTTAAAGCACTCAGACAGTAAACTTAAAGGAATGTATAGCAATACCAAAGAGTACAGTACAAATCCTCTGTGAAAAGTTCTGCATTTAAATGTTACCTTAAGTGGTAAACAAGGTTTGGCAACAAAAGTACTAAAAGTGAAGGTATTTCTTATGACGAATTGCCCATTAATTTCAGAATTATGTTTATAGGTTATACATATTGATACATCAGTGTGTCCAACACTTTTAATATTGAAGCTGGTAAAGGTGGAGATTATTAAAACTTTTTAATGTAAAGTAAAACTTAATTACATATTTAAAGCAATATCCTAGCATTTCTAAAAAAAATAGCTTAATTCTATTTGCATGGAGTTAAATGGGAAAATAAATCTGAAGTTGGATCTAGTAAATGTTAGAATTGCTTTGAATATTCAACGGTGGGAAAAAGTGTAATGGTGGAATAAAATATTCCACCAATTTGTGGGAATTATGTTGATTCTGTAGTTGTAAAAAGATTACATTTTGTAACCCTAGGGATTCAAAAGCAGTTGCATGTTCTACACTGGTGTACCACACCATAATGCACCACGCTGCTCATAGTGAATAATCTCTCTTAATTCCCTTTTTTCTTTGTTGAACAGGAGCAGAATCAGATCAGTAGAGAGGATGTTTTGTCAAATAGTCCCTTCAGGCAGCGGCTGACTGATGTGGTGTACTTGGCGACACGGCATAATGGACTAGCATGTCCCAGGAGATTTCAATTATATTGGCCCCCGGCAGACACTATCAGAGAAAGGTTGTTAAGGAAGAGCCAGGACACAGGTTTTTTGATGACAAAGAAAAAAAACATAATTTCTATTAACACAGAAGCAATACAATGTTATGTTGTGCCTTGTGTTTCAGTGAAGGTGCTCCCACTGGGACATTCAGAGGTTTAAAAGTAACTTGTCTGAAATATTAATGTGTAAAAAGCGTGCCCTATTATTGTTCTATTCAGTCACATGCAATCATCTTACAGAGTAGCTTTTGTCTTTGCTTTACTGGCACAGATCCAAAAGATCCATTTGTATTAACGCTGCTATTTATGGTTGTCTCTTAGACCTCTGTGACACATGTTTATATGGTATTTCCATAATAAAAACCCCAGGGGGCATTTCCTAGAGCAACGTATACTGGATCAGCACCAATCATGTCTGGCACATACTGTATGCTGGAACTGTTCCCATCTTTATTAAAGCTTCTGAATCATTTTAATTAGCAGCTGTACTGGTTAACATTTTGTAAGTGCTATTATTTATGAATGGCTCAGCTTGTCGGTTAGCCTTATGTATGCATATAGAAATAGTTTAGCCTTAAAGGACTCAATTATATATCTTTACGCTTTTTGAGGCTGTTGCTATGTCTAACTTTGAACTTGGAATTGGTGCGGTCTTTGGTGGGTTTGTAAATAATTCATACAGAACTGTGATTGGCGTGTATCTAAATTTAGTATAAGGGAGGATTCACTTGAGATTAAACCCGAGAATCTCATCTTAATTTAAAAAAAGGTAAAAACCTTCACAGTAAATGCAAAAATGACACACTGTTATTCACAGGCAAGGAGACCAATGACACATTGTCACGCATATATAAATATGTTAAGTGGTTATACTCCACAATATACAAGAGATTTAAATTGTAATGCAATAACTTGTAAATCTGTAACCCGCTGCGGCTTTGATCCCTCTTTTTATTATTGCTTCAAATAATCACCACTTATTTACAGAAGCTCGATTTCCCTTTAGTGTTTCCTACAACACAGACACACACTCTGAGGTCAACACAGAGATTAACCTCCAAGGCTAGGACCCTCAGTGTCTCATAAGGGAGCCTTTCGTCCATCTGTTTTCCCTTCAGTTTCCAGTAGCCTATGTATTTTCTCCGAACACAAACTCAGTAACATGTGGAGGCATGTCCAATTGTTGGAGAAGGAGAGTTCAAACTGAGGTGCCAACTTCACTGCTGTTTAAGCAATAAGAAAACTGGGAATTAACTGAAACCCTATAGCTTTCCTGAATAATTAAAATCTTCTTTCACCAAGGAATTGAGTCTTGAAATCTGAATACTGCTGGACCATCAACCAGCAGCTTTTCCATTCTGCAGGCTATGTGCGTAGTGAGATAAAGCTGTCTAATATGGTAATAGCTTTTCAAAAGTTATCCTTAAAAGTTAAAGAGGTGCATTACATTGTTCTGCCTGCTCAAGAGACAAAGGTGAAAGACGAAATGTAGTATCCATTTCAAAGCTTGTTTGCTTACATTTTTGTAATTGTTTAGTTTCATACATTTAAATGACATGTATACATACAGGCTTGTTAAAAAAATAATCACTTAATACTCACTCGTTTGAACTGAATTAGGTGTAGTTTAACGCTTTTTTCCCTTATTCCCTTTTGCAGCTTTTGGCCAATGGAGTGGGGTATAACCAAGGGTGCACATAACTTTTTTGCCCTGGTTCTCAAAGGAGCCCCTGGAGATGTTGCTTGGTGCTCATCCTTAAAATGAAATAAACCGTAACTTTTGAGGGGGTCTTGACTTTATTTGCCAGACACACGGCACTAAACACCCATGCAGAGGTGAACACAGAACACACATGCAGAGGTGAACACAGAACACACATGCAGAGGTGAACACAGAACACACATGCAGAGGTGAACACAAGACAACATTAGCACAACCAGTAATCCTACAAGCTGTCATCACTACCCTCCTGACTGTCAGACATGGTAGCTGATGATGTAGGCCTACTACTTCCTCTCTGGTTGAGTCTGTGATTAGCTGCTTGCATCCACAAGTCAACAGCTGGTTTTGGGTCGAAAGTCTCTGTTGTCATCTTAGAAAAGTGGATGTAATCAAATAAGTATGTGAACATAACCAATAACCTACCATAGCCAATAACAAATTAATGTAACTTATTTTATTTGTGTTGTTCATTCATATCTTATTTTACCTTAACATTTATTTATTTATGCATTTTTTTTTTATCTCTCCAGTTTTAAAGGATATTTTTGGTTACTGTCCTATAGTATACATTGGAATTATTTCAAACCTGTTTATCCCAATAATTATAAAGGAGTGCCTTGGAAATATGTGTTTACATAAATTGTGACCAAACCGTTTGAACTTAGACTCAGAGTCCTTTACCTCACTGAGCTGTAGTTAACTTATCAGGCTCTCAGTCTGACTGGAGAGGACTCTCCCTCCACATTATTGTAGAAACATCTTCTTCTTATATCCGTTAGAGCAGCTAGCACGGCACCAGATTCTAATAACAACAGCGCTGGTACCGGTGCACCCTCCCTCTCTCCCTCGCTCACTCGCATTTTTGCTGTGAGCTGCGGGCGCCAGATAAGCCAACATCCCCCAT